CCCTAGAAGGAAATGATAAATGTGGTGGTCTTAATCATAAGAAGAGCTTGAGACAGAGATAACAGGCCATTGAAGGTTATAAATGCTTTTAAATAGAGGCCCCTAAATCTAAACCTGAGAGACTGATAGTTGGGCTACCATGACTAAATAACTAAACATATGAATAAGCTTTAATCAATAGTTTTATATTGTATCATCATTGTGGATTTGATTATATTAATGGTCAACCATACGTAGACAAATCTTGTACCATTATCTTTTCCAAATTCTGTTCAAATTTGTCTGTGCTTAAAATCAGATGTTGTAATGTGATTCATTTAGATTAGAGCCATGGGTTGGTTCAAGACTTACTGAAAAATGTTTTGAAATGTCTATATGGAGAAAATGAATGGAAAAAATCCTTCCAGAACCCAGGCTGCTGGAAGAACGAACCATCTCGGTTGCGCTCTATCATATTGCTTGTCAAGGATTTGCAGAAAGACTTTTGTTCTCAATTCAGAAATTTTGGCTATTTGAGACGGACCCCGGTTGGAGAAATGCTGACTTAGATAAAAGTTCCAATAAATTCTAGTCCTCATCTTTACTGAGGAAAACCACTGCTAAGATTTCTCAAACTGTCCATGCATATAGTCCGTAATGAGCAGAATTAAGATCCATAATGAATGCAAGTGGTCTTTCATGGCTGCCTGATGAAGTCTAAAAATTCTCTCTGTGGGACTGAGGTCACATCTCTGTTTGAGTAGTGGCGAAGACACGGGAAACCACAAATGAGGACACTAAATCGATTCATTACACACAAAGACGAGAGAGAGGAAGAAGTTGAAAAGGCAATTTTTCAAAATTCGATGGGAGAAAAGCCATAGACGAAGATAGGCTATGGGCGTCTCCTCGCTGTCTCTTGGTCGACTCAGCATGTTTGGAAGCAATCAACAGAAACTTCAAGAGGCTTTTTGCTGTGGAGTATCTCCAAACAGAGGAAAAAGAGCTGACTTTCAGTGTATTTGAAAAGGCTGGGAAGTAATTGGTTCATTTAAACAGCTCCAAAACCTGTCAATGGGATTTATATGCATTTTAATGTGAGTGGTTTGTTTGACCTTAGAAGTCCCTGGAAAAGCAGCATAATTTGTTTTTTTTGATTGGTTAATGGAGGGAAGCTTTGTGACAGACGTAAAAGATAATGTTGTTTGTGACTCCCGCCTGTATTTTAATTCGCTAAAACAAACTGCCCGGCAATATAAGACTTTATTTGCATTAAGTTCCTAAGCCAGTCTAATGAATGTCGGCAAATGAACTTTTCACTTGGGAGTCTTAGTCAATATTGACGTGTGCTTGCGGCATGTAAAATGTCTGCTTGACTGAACATGTCAGCATACAGAGTCCAAACCATTTAATAGACTAAAAGAACCAAGATCATTAAAAAAGTTTCCAATAAAAGGCTGTGAGTAACAGCAGCTTTGTTTTCACCAAAATCAATGAACATACAAATAAATGACTCCCAATCAAAACGTGCATCTAAAAGCAACTGAGACACTGATAACCTTATGATTTTGATGCTGTTTGACTGAGCACATCACTGGCATATCCTTGAGATGTGCTCCTTTTGGTCAAAACATCTCTGACGTTACTGCAGTTTGTGAGGCTGTTCTTGCTTCTGCAGCACTGCAATTGTCTTGATTAATTAGAATACTTAGTTTGTCATTAAGCTTGATTAATTCCATTAATCTATTAAGCCTAAAGTCATTCTGTGATGCCACTGGTATTGATTATTCCATTGGGGCAACCATTGCAGAAGCTCACAGTTCACCATGGCAACTGACGTTTGAATGTGCCGAGATGTGTCTCACATTCGCTCAATTTCTGTGATTGCACTGGAGCATTTATTCAGTAATCTCAGGATATTAATCACTTTTAACACCTCATGAGCTCGAAAATTATTCAGATGTGATGACATTCCCTGCATCATGAACAACAGTTCATGTTCCCTGAAAAAATGGCACAGCCTACCTATTACAGAGCTGTCTATCAAACATAACAAAATAAATTATATCAAAAAGGGGTGGGTGGGGGGATGGGGGGTGGAATGCTGCTAGTAAGTTATAATGTTAAGTGTTGTGTTGGAGTGTTGGAGAACAACCCAACTGTGACCCAGTGGAAATAGAACCTGCTATTTTGAATGAAGAAATTATATGTGCGATGCAGCAATTATCAAACAAGGCCCCTGTGTTTGACTGTATCCAATCATTTATCCTATCGGTAAGCCCCGCCCCCTTAGTTACTGTTGCTCCCTCGGACAAACAAACGGCGCTGCTCACTGTCTTACAATGACAGCTGATCAGATCACAATGCAAGTGGGAGAAGCCCCATGTTACGGTCGTCACAATCAAGATTAAAAAAAACGGGGCATTTATACCTATAAGCGCCAGCGGGTCAAATTTACCCGCTATATAATGCATGTATTTTCTTGCTGCTTATGTTTTAACATTGTACATTTCTAGGCAATGCCTTTCACTCACTGATTTAGCGGTTATGAGTTTCATAAATAAAGTCAAAATGCCTAAAAAAGGCGATTTATGGAAGGTAGGTATTAGAAACACTAAATGCCATGAGTGATGGAGAGTCTGATGGTAAGTTATGCATCCTGGGTCAGCTCAACATCTGACGGCTCATCTGACAGTGATCCAGATATCATATTTAAATGTTTTAGCATAACGTTACTCTAATTGGTCAAACTTTGGTTTAATTATTACATTTTTGTCATGCCATATCGTTTATTGTTCACTACTGTGTTGCTATTCTAGTCTGGCCATTTTCTGAAGATAAAAACCCTATATGTTTGTAATAAATCTATATGATGTAATGAATAAAACCATTTTTTGATTACCCAAAGTTTAATGGTGTCGTTCTCTTATTCAAATCATAAATGATTATTATTGCTCATTATTATCTATAGGCTGTTTTAGTCATTCATAGCATGGATTATCTTACTATATTCATTAATGACATTGTATTATAATATTAAACCACTCAAATATTTAGGCTACTACCTTCTAATTTTTTTTTCTTTAGCTTAGGCTACTGACCATTATGGATTTTAGCATGCATTAAAAAGTCTTGAACATAAAACAACAGGATACAGATATAGTTGATGACTAGACATAATTTCAGGACTCTAGACACTTCTTTGTGAAGACAGTGGCATAATACAGTGAAATAATACGTTCTTTAGCCATATAAATACAGCTGCCATGTGTGTGAGTAAAATTTACCCGCTGGCACTTTTAGGTATACAGCAACCTCTGGCGGTTCTAGTGTTAAATTTACATTTAACCAGTTTAATATGGAGATGCACTGAAATGTAGACCTTAGTTTATGTGTTTTTGACCTACACTGTACACGACGTGAGAACAGTTAGCTCTTTAGGTTTGTACGTTAGCATTGACTCACTAACTTCAACGTTAGCTAGTTTTAGCCAGAGATGCCTTGCTGAAGCACAAGATGACATTAATGTTCTGCTTGAGTACTCACTAACTTCAACGTTAGCTAGATTTAGCCAGAGATACTTTGCTGAAGCACAAGATGACATTAATGCTCTGCTTGAGCAGATGAAAATTGTAACTTAATGAGAGTATGACAACCAGAAAATTTAAGTTTTTGTCTTCATTGGGATTAGGGTTGAATGCTTACGGACATTTTGCTCTGTTTTGTTTGGGTTCAAGAAATGGAATAAAATAAGTTCCATTGCCCATCCTTTCAGGATACCTGGAACTCAGTGTTACAAGTACCCCAGGCACATCGATTTTCCATTTTTGTAGCATAAACACCATCCAACTGATGCAAGCTTCGGATCTTCCAATGTTTCTCTATGGTGCTGAAACCTAAAGATGTCCGAGTCCCCGTGCAACTGATACTCAACTGCCATTGGCTCATCTGTGTTCGAGGGGAGGGGCTTACCGATAGGTCAATTCCACCTGCAGCCATTAAAGTAATCTGCCAAAAGGTCTGGGACACCAGAAAGTGGCCAAAAGATTGGAAAAGATCAGTTTTTATACCAATACCAAAGAAAGGTGATGCAAGAAATTGTAGCAACTACCACTCAATAAACATGATCCCTCACATAAGCAAAATCCTTTTAAAAATCATTCTGCAATACCTACTCCCAGTCATAGAGACAGAACTACCTGATTTGCAGGCTGGTTTCCGCCGAGGTCGTGGCACACGTGACCACATAGCAAATTTGCGATGGATCATTGAAAAAATCCAATGAATTTCAAAAAGTTATCTATATGTGATAAATATCACTAGGACGTAATGCAATGCTAAGCATGCAACAAATCTGGAAGAGTAAAGACATCAATCTAACAACCAAATGTATACTAGTCCAGACGATTGTATTTCCAGTATCAATATATGGATGTGAAAGCTGGACTGTGAAAAAAACTGATCGAAGGAGGATAGACGCCTACAAGTTATGGTGTTGGAGAAGGCTCTTGAGGATACCATGGTCAACATATTAAAACATTTCATAATAAGCCAAATTAATAGACTATAATGAATTTAAATGAAAAGTAATTTTACTGCCAGGCTTAAAGTGAAATATGTTTGAATATGAAGTGATGACAGTGGTTTTAAAATGCTTGGCTGAATGATAGCAAATAGCTCTTGCCTGAAGCCTGAGGTAAGGTGATCGGTTACCTTAATGAACAGTGAGTGAGCGAGCATGTGAGCGAGAGGCTCCAGAGAGAAGGGATAACTGGGATTTCATCGAAACTTTGATTCTAGGAGCTAAACATTAGGAATCACGACAAAGCTTTGATCTTTGTTGAGGTTCTGTGTTAGAGTTCATCTGAACTCTGAATGTTGTTTAATGTACACCTCTGTGCTGCAGTGATCATTTCATTACAGCACATTTCAACTTTACATTTAATCATTCACAGCCAATAACAGTCACAATAATATTAGATTGTCCCTAAGCATATTAGGACACTTATAATAAACCCTACCTGCAGCCACTGGGACTGGTCACTGTGTCCAGATGTCCAGGCATTGACCTTGCCTTGTTTATCCAGTCTTGCTTTCCCAGGTTCCCAGGTGAACATGTCCATGTTAAGAGTTCTGAAGATGCTGGAGGCCGTGATTTGGTAGTCCTGAATGTGGCCAGACTTCATCCCCATTGGCTCCGAACACCCTGAAGTATTCAAAGGCGTGTCATTAGCCTAAAACCGTATTACACTAAAACCAATTTACATGCTGTTACACAATAATGTACGCTGGTTAGTGTATTTTTTTTTACAAGGAATACAGGTTAACTATGGCTTGTGTTTAGCTTCAACTAACACATTGAAGCAATAATAATAAATACATGTGTCGTATAGTAACTACTGGCACAATCTGACCAACAGGGGGGAAAAAATCCTTATTGTTGAGCTGTATAAAATAAATCCCCTGAACTGGCTAGGAGAAAAGGAAAAACTGGCTTCAACCATGTTGTGCTGTGCTTTATTGACAGTCTGGACAATGTTTTAGAGGTATAACACACTTTTAAAGTCGCCTTTGGACGTGCTCTCAGAAAGATGTATTGCTGTCTATTGAGGTGACTCACCCGTGAGCTCACAACCCAGGAGCTCCATGCGAAGAGTGCAGTGTCTCCTGCACACCTGCGGGTAGATCCTCACATACTGAGCCTCGATAGGAGGGGTGAAGGAGTTGGCAAACGGAGTGTTGTTATCAATATTCCCACGGAAGATCTGGAGAGAGAACGTGGGGAGATTTCATAAAACGAGAGAGGTCAACACTGCTCCATCACACTCACCCAATTTATTATACTGGTTTTTAATCAAAAGAGTATTTACTAACACTAAATCGAAGTAATTTATGAAAAATGTTTGCGATAAAAAGGTCAAAACGAGATCAAACTGGACTAGGTTTGCATTCTTTGAAGGAAATATCAGAGCTTGCAAGATAGCAAAAATAAGAAAAAATGTTAAAGTTTTGTTTTGTTAATGTTTTAAATAAGCTTAGGTTCTGAACAAATGAAATAAAAAAAATAGAACCAATGACAAGTATGCAAAATAGATTTAAAAGAAAATACTGATCACAATTTAGTATGTACATATTTAGATGCCATTATCACTGTTTAGAACAAGAATATATAATACTATAATACTATTTTTAATAAAATAATTTCCCTAATAACAAAACAGTGTCTGAAATAATCAAAATAGCAACTACTCAAAGTCATTAGAAGAAATCTGGACACTCTCTAACAGTAAAAAATGATGGCATCAGAGATGATGGACGCTGCATGTCATCTGAAGCCCGACAGCAATCCCCTCAGAATACAGCCTGGAAAGGTGGAGGGAGAAGCAAAAGCACATGCTGAGTGACTGATGTGGCTCTTTTTCGCTAATTAAAAAAATGTCTCACTATATCTTCATCTGTGCCCTTGACTTTGTATGTCCTCCAGGTCTTTCCGTCGTCGCTGTAGGCCACTTTGTACGACTTAACATATTCTGGGCTCCCGATGCGCTTGGCTCCTTGGGTTATCACTCCTGTGACCCGCATCCTCCTCTGTAGGTTAATCTGAGACAGAACAAAAGAGAGAGGAACAGATGCAGAGAGAGAGATAGAAACGATCTTCTTTAGTGTTATCTTAGTATTATTTATATATATGTGTGTGTGTGTGTGTGTGTGTGTGTGTGTGTGATTTATTTTAGTTTTTGTGAATATATTACAAGCAAAATAAGACAGGACAAGACGTGTAATTACACAATAAAGAAATATAATAGCAACATGCTATGGCCGCTGATAATCACAGACATGCTGAAACACTGCCACAACATATTCTGCATGTGCAGTTGTTTTATATTTAAGTTTAATGGACAACTATGTAAATAAAGGAAAATCAAAGAAGTGCCCCAAAAACGGTCTATTTTCAAATTGCCGGTGACTTTGTCTGTTTTTGGTCCGCAAAGCAAACAGAACTGCCGAACACTGAGATAGCACTCATTTGCTTTGTCTCAGAATGAGTCAGTGTTTTTGAACAAATCTTTGAATAAAATGATTTGCTGACTCACCCGTGAAGACAGTCACCTGTCGCCGCCTATTGACGCAACAATGTAACTCGCAGAAAGAGTTGCTGAAAACCCCCTTATCATTTCACCTTTTAGTGACTTAAGGTGCAGCCACATGAGCAAATTTTCAGTAATATCTTCCTGATATAAAGGCATTGTTCACTGACAACAGTGAAGCACTGTTCACACAGAAGTTCACTTTCTGCTTAATCCTTTTTTTGAAAAGTTAATCCTTTTATGTAAAGACATGCCAATTGAATTGCAACCGAGATTTTATTTTTAAATTGTGGTTTGTTCAGGAGTATGTATGCTTTGGAAATATCTGTTAGGTATACTTGTTATAGCACTTGCATATCATTGCTCTTTTGTTGATTTTGATTGCTTCCATTGTCCTCATTTGTAAGTCACTTTGGATAAAAGCGTCTGCTAAATGACTAAATGTAAGTCAAATGTATTACTTATCCTTATATATATGTAAATATACAACAATTTTGCATTCATTTACTGCATTCATTGTCTCCTGCACAATTTGAAATCATTATAGGCTGCATTTTGAAATTACACCCAATGAAATGTCATTATTAAGCAGCTTGCAACACATTTTGTAACTGTGTTGTACTATAATTCTAAATACTTTTTCTACTAATATTCTCATATTTGGCTGCATACAACAAATAAAAGTAAAATTCATTAAATTCAGATACAAAGCTTGCACTGATATATATATATATATATATATATATATATATATATATGTGTTTTTTTCCGCGCTCAAGTTCACACTGCACACGGTTGCAGTCCGGCAGTGCGATCCAGGAGCGGTGCGTCTGCAGGGGTGCAGAGATAGTTTCTGCTGCACACGCTGAATTAAAGTTACAGAGCATTGTTTGCACTAAATATGAACATGGATTGACATGAAAATGTAGTAATTACACCACAAATGCATATAATTAAAGTCTACTGTGTTTCACAGTCAACACATAGGCTATGGTTTTTTGGCTAGGTTTAAAGGAAAAGAGCACTTTTAGATAAACAAGGCAATAATAGATGGCACTCGTGGAGGTAGTTATTTCCGCGCTCAAGTTCACACTGCACACGGTTGCAGTCCGGCAGTGCGATCCAGGAGCGGTGCGTCTGCAGGGGTGCAGAGATAGTTTCTGCTGCACACGCTGAATTAAAGTTACAGAGCATTGTTTGCACTAAATATGAACATGGATTGACATGAAAATGTAGTAATTACACCACAAATGCATATAATTAAAGTCTACTGTGTTTCACAGTCAACACATAGGCTATGGTTTTTTGGCTAGGTTTAAAGGAAAAGAGCACTTTTAGATAAACAAGGCAATAATAGATGGCACTCGTGGAGGTAGTTAAACAAAATTCTTTATGAACTGCAGGATTGGTTGTAAAAGATTTAAATGCAAAAGAAAAGGCAGTAGAGCTGACTGTTTCTGTCTATAGTAAGTTTTAATTTAGAATGTTTGTGATAATGTAAGAAAAGTATTTAAATGTTTTGCCACTTGCTTGAGCAACTTAATATATAAATCTAGAAGTAAATGCAAAAGTAAAAAGCATTGAACAATGTGTTGCTTATATTTATTGCATTTAAACACATCTATGAAAGATTGTATTACTGTAATGTGTAAATTTGAAATTCTGAATTCTGAAAAAGCATTTTAAGTAACAATGTTGGATTTGAAATCAAAATAATGGATAAATGTTGTGTTTGTGGTAAACAGCCACGGATCAGTTGCAGACTCTTGTGTGAAAGCACAATGAGAGTCAGTGCTGCTTCTGCACCGCTTACGTATAGCACATGGACTGCATACACACTGCAAACGGAGTATGTTTAAACCAGGTGTAAAAGGCTGCCTCACATACAGCTCATGAAATCAGGCTTGTGCTGTGTGTAAGCTATTGTGCAACAATTGCACGACTGTCAAAACAAAAATGCACTGCATGATCAAACATTTAGGTGAGATAAATATATATTTTAGAAAAATGTCTAAAAATGCCCCCCTTCACCCCTCAAATTTAAAAAATCCCCTCTCACAAGTCACCTAAGAGGGGAATTCATTTTCAAAAAAGAAATTCAGGCCCTGAATAAATGTCTAAAAATCTTGATTGGATCGCTATAAATAATTCTACATGATAAAAAGAAGGCCTTTAAAAGATCGGTATCGGTGATTGTATCGGCAAATACTGCTTTCTATGATCGGCCTCAAAAATCCTGATCGGAGCACCCCTAATAATAATAATAATTATTATTATTATTGTTGTTATTATTATTAGGATTTTTGAGGCCGATCATAGAAAGCAGTATTTGCCGATACAATGCTCTTGCAGACCAGTAGTCGTGGAAGCCCTATTGCCAGAATTTCCATTTAGACAACCTGCCAAAAACTGTTTCTACTAGACCCCTTCAGTTCTTGATTTCATAGTCACTCGTTCTGAAGTACACCGCTGGCTGTTAAAGCCAAGCCTCGTTTCATTATACATTCCTAGGAAGCCCAAGAAAAGAGAAAAAACTCTAGGAAGAGATCTGGCTGATTAAGTTTTGCCATACATCCACAGAGCATCCTTTGAATTTTTGAACGTATTGTGCTTGACAAACTACAGCTGTAACATCACATGCATATCAACATAGCTTTGCAGTTTATCTTTAAAGTAGGGCTCTACCGCAAAAATACAAAGCTAACCTTTGTAAAAAGGACATGTCCCTCACTGAAAACAAAAATGCCATATACAGATTTTTTTTATTTGTTATGTAATATGAATTATCCTTTCAGGACTCCACTGACTCTACTTGAGATGCATTTTCAGTATTTTAGCAAGTATTTTGAGCTCTGCACATTGAATAGCTACAGGCCTCTGGTTTTAAAGTAGGCCACACAACCTGACAGCCTTCTGGGAGTAACTTATTTTGTAGCTAGCCTGTAGAATATCAATTTTTTTTTTCCTTAACTTTTTCTAAAACGTCACAGGTAAACTGCAAGCACAACATATCACAAATGTACTGCTTTCATAACCTGTGTTCACAGAAAAAAATAATATACACAAAATAAAAAAAATTTACATGAAATTCTTAGGTAGATAAACATAAATGGCATTTTTTGTAACATACTCCAATAAACATATAATTAGCAATGCTACTAACCTGACTACTTAGGTTTTAAATTATAGAATTATATCATTATTTCTAGGTTTCCTGGGACTGATGTATCTGATGGAGACAGACAGTAATTTTTATTTTGCGGCAATTTGGCTCTGCCCGAAACATTGACTTTTATATCTTGTTTACATTACTGGCATTTAGAAAGTGTAAATTTTTTGAACACTTTATTTATTGTGGCTTTCTTTATTGTGCAAAGAGACAGACATAAAGGCAAACAAGAGTATGCATGCATTGTTGATAGGGTTGGGTATTGTTCGAATTTGATCAATTCCGCATTCCAGTTATCGATTCCAAACATTTAGATATCAAACATATTTATTTTGTGTCTCTTTTTGCAAATCATTTAAACTCTTGCAGACCAGTAGTCGTGGAAGCCCTATAGCCAGAATTTCCATTTAGACAACCTGCCAAAAACTGTTTCTACTAGACCCCTTCAGTTCTTGATTTCATAGTCACTCATTCTGAAGTACACCGCTGGCTGTTAAAGCCAAGCCTCGTTTCATTATACATTCCTAGGAAGCCCAAGAAAAGAGAAAAAACTCTAGGAAGAGATCTGGCTGATTAAGTTTTGTCATACATCCACAGAGCATCCTTTGAATTTTTGAACGTATTGTGCTTGACAAACTACAGCTGTAACATCACATGCATATCAACATAGCTTTGCAGTTTATCTTTAAAGTAGGGCTCTACCGCAAAAATACAAAGCTAACCTTTGTAAAAAGGACATGTCCCTCACTGAAAACAAAAATGCCATATACAGATTTTTTTTATTTGTTATGTAATATGAATTATCCTTTCAGGACTCCACTGACTCTACTTGAGATGCATTTTCAGTATTTTAGCAAGTATTTTGAGCTCTGCACATTGAATAGCTACAGGCCTCTGGTTTTAAAGTAGGCCACACAACCTGACAGCCTTCTGGGAGTAACTTATTTTGTAGCTAGCCTGTAGAATATCAATTTTTTTTTCCTTAACTTTTTCTAAAACGTCACAGGTAAACTGCAAGCACAACATATCACAAATGTACTGCTTTCATAACCTGTGTTCACAGAAAAAAATAATATACACAAAATAAAAAAAATTAACATGAAATTCTTAGGTAGATAAACATAAATGGCATTTTTTGTAACATACTCCAATAAACATATAATTAGCAATGCTACTAACCTGACTACTTAGGTTTTAAATTATAGAATTATATAATTATTTCTAGGTTTCCTGGGACTGATGTATCTGATGGAGACAGACAGTAATTTTTATTTTGCGGCAATTTGGCTCTGCCCGAAACATTGACTTTTATATCTTGTTTACATTACTGGCATTTAGAAAGT